ACAATCAATTTTGAAAAATCAACATAAATTCCATGTAGAAAAAACATAAATTCCATGTAGAAAAAACATCCACACTTCTATTTTCAATGTTGCAACGTCTCATCAAGGTTTTTTCAACGTTCTGTGTTGTATGGGTGATAGTGTTTGCTGAAAGGATAGTCAATAAACATCAACTTAATTGATGTTATATCAATATTATAATTTTCGCTCAATAATATAACTGTTACGTACACGCATCGGCGTTAATGCCGTCCGTATATCCGTGTGACTCGCACACGATGACGCGTCACTCACACACTGCTGCTTGTGGGTGAGGCACGACGTTCGTTGTCTGAGAAGAACTTCAGCTTCGACTCGACTTTCTCACGAACTTGATTGATTCGATACCTAATCGATTCAATCAAGTTATCGACCGTGCCGGATATTGGACTAACTATTGATTGATTATTGACTATCGACCTTAATTTCTTCGGCACAAAAATCGGCTCTTTTCAGAGTTACCAAATTTTATAACGATGGAACGATACTTGAATGCATAAAATATGAAATAATTATATCTCACGTTTATGCAACATTTAAAATATTCTACTTCGACAACCTATACAAGCGCTGTATTATTGCAGTATTGGTTCAGAATTCTATATTGAAATAAATCTAATATTTTTTTTTCAAGAGTAGCTATTAAGAAGCACTTGTCGAAGCCTCCTGAAAACCCTTCTTCAAGATCTCCTTTTATATTACAGTAATTTCCTTGCTAACAAGAAAAAATGCATGGACGTTCGAGCGAGCGAAACAGTCGTCGGGACACTGCGTATTGCTCACGTATAGACGAGACAATGTGAGTCAAGCGTTTTCTTAGTGTGCGTCACACGTATTTTAGGACGGCATTTCTGTTTACGACGTCTTATAATGCTATCTCTCTCGCTCTTATGTCTGCGATAGAAGATGGTAGATCGCCGCGATTCCCACTACTATTCCCTCTCCAAGCGTCCGATGATCGTATACTGCTAGCCCTCTTCGCCACTCCGTGCTGCTCGTGCCTCACCTACAAGCAACAGTGTGTGAGTGACGCGTCATCGTGTGCGAGTTACACGGATATACGGACGGCATTAACGCCAGTGCGTGTACAACATATGTTATATGTACCACTTACACAGTTAATTGGAAAATCATAATATTGATGTAACGTTAATGTTTGTTGATGTTTGATGAGTAACAATTCTCTTTTAACTGAAATAATTAAAATATATCCAGCTTCTCATTACATAAAAGAAGAAAGGTATCCAAAATTGTATAAGAATTATATAGAATAAAGAAGAATTATACTAAAATAGTTACATCTTTAGGTTATAAAGTAGTACTTTGTAAAATATAAACCCAATTCAATATTCAACCATATTCTCACGATTCAATTCAATAATATTCCTTTTCTTTTTATCATATCATTTATTTGCAAAGAAAGCTCCAATTATAATAATACACACACAAAGCACTGAAAATGATATATGTATCTGCTGCACGCAGCCACAAGAAATAATTGTAACAAACAAAACACTTGTAATTCCTCACGAATTTTCACAGCGTTCTAGGAATTAAGTCGCAAAGTATTCGCTACAATGAACTTCTGAGGAATACTTTAAGACAAATTTATTGTGGTTATTTCTTCACGAATTTTTCAGATATTTATTTTGTAACCGCGATGCGTCGCGTGCCGGATTACGCTCGCTAGTTCGGGTTCGTAGGAGGCTGAGTAATTTTGAAACGGTGCAATCGAAATAAACTTGGTCGTATATTTAAAATGTGCTGTTGTTATATATTAAATTATATCTTTGATGTCGCCGTTGGTTGTTGGTCGCTTGTGTATACGCTTGTCAGATGTTTTGTGTCGGCGATGGCTTGCGCGGTGTTGTGCGCAGTGCGCGGGACGCGGTCGGTTATGTTGTCACGTCGCTTCTTCAAAAGTGTATTCGTTTGTTGATGTTTCCACATCTGGTTTATTTAAATGCCAGTTGACAATGTCTTTAAATCGCTGCTGTACGATGCAGCGCTGTATAGACGGTATTGCAACTGAGATGCTTTTGGGAGATCGCCCCTATGGCGATAACTCGGATGCAATGATTGCTCTAGCAAATCGGTTATACGGTGCGCGCAGGCAGAGGCTGCTTAAGCAGTCCGTCTACCGGAGCGGAGCTTAGTTGGCTTTGTTTGCCTCTATTTGCGGACAAGTCTTGCTCGTTCACACGAGAGAGCGGATACGAGGGAGAAAGGGAGGGAGCGAGCGAGGGGGGGGGAGAGAGAGAGAGAGAGAGAGAGAGAGAGAGAGAGAGAGAGAGAGAGAGAGAGCAGTCTAGTAGTATATAGAAGTCTGTGCGCGGTAAACGTTGCTGCGTCTTGCAGGCAGAAGCCATTAGAGGTCATTATAATATTTGCTATAGCAACAGCGTGTATAAATCTCATAATTGGTAATGTAGATAGTCATACATAGTCTTAAAATATTATAAAATAAATGTTAGTCATAAAGACGTCTGAAATAACACAAAAGCACACGATATTCTATGGATATTCTATGGACATCCTTAGGATATTGGACGTTTTTAGGATGTCCTTGAAAGATTTGTATTGTTGGAGAAGATGTCTTTAAGACGTCTTTTGGAAACATCTTAAAGACATTTGAAATGAGACGTTTTTTAAATGACTTTTGGTAATATCATAAAAATGTGTTTGGTAATATCATAAAAATGTCTTTTAGACATGAATGTTGTGTGGGATAAAAACGTGGAGAATAAAAAGTGGCATTGCATTTTTTACTAATATTCAACAAAAATTGTAGTTGTAAGGCGAGATACGAAACTATTTAAATTTATATTCTGTATTTCTGTCGTATACAGGTGTTACAATATAATGTTCCCGGAGGGAAGAAAACTCGTGGCTTAGCAGTAGTCTACGCTTATAAGATGCTGGCACCTAGTGATCAAATTACACAGGAAAACATTCGTTTGATACGAATTTTAGCATGGTGTGTGGAATTGGTGCGTATTTGTTCTCTTTTCCTTCTTTTTTGCTTAGTTCATATAAATTAATACCAATTCATTAAATATTAATTAGAACATAATTAAATCAATATTATACACCTTTAAAGTAGTTTTTAAGCAAAAATATTAAAATTCTCAGATTAAGATGTCGGGAAATAAATAATATTAAATAATAAATAATAAATTTTATAAACAGAATAATAAATTTGGGAAAAATGATTTATGTATATATTTATTCATATATATTCAATGATATATACCCTAGTAGCACAATTCATTGGCTTTACATTAACTAAACATTGGTTATCTTGGGAATACATTGGCCAATATTTCCCAATATTTAGCTAATATTGGATATAGAATAATTAGAAATATATTCTCAGTAAACAATCTGTGTGCAGACTGGCGACAGGATCTGTCGAATTCGAGCAGGATCTGATCCATAGACATCTACGTCCCCAATCTGCCGTCAGACTGTTGACAGGGTCTGCGAACAGACTTTGATGATAGACTGGTGGCAGATTGCGCGCAGAGCAGTTCGACAGACTCTGACGGCAGATTGGCGGCAGATTGCGTGCAGATCCTGTCGTTTTGTAGATTCTTCAATTAAATTTTTGGTAGAAAATTTTTTCATAATTTTTCATAATTACTCATAGAATAAGCGCTTTCTCGTAAATACTTATAAAATACAATGAAAAAAAAAGTTTTTATATATTTTTCATAATTTTTAAGATTTTCTCTGATGAGATTAGAACGACATCTTTTGGATAATCGTCCGTCGCCTTAGACATTATGCCAATTCCTCACTTGATAAAAAATGCTTTATATTGCCCACTTAAAGTTTAAGGAAGAAAAATCTTAGAGTTTGTTCGACTTTTAAACCGCAAAATATAGACGAAACCGTTTAGCGTATAAATAATGTAAGAGAGAACGGCGATAATTCGAAATTAATTTTCTACCAAGGTATAGTAAATGTTTGCAATAAAACAGCAGATAATGACATTTTTCCATCATGTTAATAAAATACTGTACTTTTACATGTGCGAATTAATTTAGTCCATCGTCCCGTTCAGATTGCATTAAGTTTTATCAAAATCGAAGTATGATATATTTTCAAATAAACCATCACAAAAATTCTGTAAAAGTTATATACACAGCGAGACTAATATTTTATTCGGTGCTGCTGCCTTCAGTACTTATTGCATGATGGTTAAATCGTTCAGATTTAATGACATAATAACATTAAAAAAAATAATAATATGAGAAATTGTATGAAAAATTATGAGAACAATTTTTACCAGAGATGGAATATGTACGCCTTTAAATGGCTATTTAACCGTTGTATTATTCTATATTTGTACTCGTTATTTCTTTATTATTGTTGCTCTTTTATAAAAAAATGTGTAATATTAGATGTACAACTTTGCTTTCGCCGTTTTCCTATAGATGGCTTTAGCGGTAAGTGGTGGTCGAAATAAATAGATCATAGACGTCATACAATAAACTTGGGCACCTGTCAATATAACCCCATAGAAACATTAGTCGATTTATGTTTGCATCATAAAGTTATTCTCGATAGAAAATGTCAGTTTACGAGCCAAATTCTCGTCATTTGCGGGAGGTTTTAATTTTCTGCTTCAATATGAAGAAATCTGCGACTGAGGCTCATCGAGTGCTCTCAAATACTTATGGTGAGGCCGCTATTAGTGAAAAAACGTGTCGTGAGTGGTTTCAACGCTTCAATAACGGTTATTTTGACGTCGAAGACCGGCATAGCGGTGGAAGAGAGAAGGTTTTCGAAGATGCAGAATTGGAGGCATTACTTGATCAAGACTCGTGTTAAAATCAAGAGGAATTGGTACGATCATTGGGAGTGATTCAACAAGCCACTTCAAAACGCCTCAAAGCCATGGGAATGATTCAGAAGCAAGGGTGCCGTACGAATTGAAGCCGAGAGATGTTGAACGGCGTTTGTTTGCTTGTGAATAGCTGCTTGAAAGGCAAAGACGGAAGGGATTTCTGCATCGCATTGTGACTGGGGACGAAAAATGGGTTTATTACGATAACCCCAAGCGCAGAAAATCATGGGGAGTTCCCGGCCATGCTTCCACGTCGACGGCCAAACCGAATATTCACGGCTCCAAGGTCATGCTCTGTATTTGGTGGGACCAGCTCGGCGTAGTGTATTATGAGCTGTTAAAACCGACTGAAACAATCACAGGCGATCGGTATCGAACGCAATTGATGCGTTTGAGCCGAGCATTGAAAGACAAACGGCCGCAATACAACGAGAGACACGATAAAGTGATTTTGCAGCATGACAATGCTTGACCCCATGTTGCGAAAATGGTCAAGACATACTTGGAAACGTTGAAATGGGAAGTCCTACCCCGCCCGCCGTATTCTCCAGACGTTGCTCCCTCTGACTATCGATTAATGGCACACGGCCTGGCTGACCAGCACTTCCGGTCTTATAAAGAAGTAA